TTTTGTAACAGTAATTGGGTCAAACATATTGGTGACATGAGGAGCAATTCGGACTATGCATTCTCATTTGGTTTCGATGTATTTTTATGGGTGTCAAAAAAATACCAAAGTGTGACATAATCATTAATTGAAACTGAATATATTTTATCATCTTTGACTACTTCTCAAGCAATTTAGTTGAGAAAAATCTTAAAGTGAAAATCAAGGTGAAGTAACTCCAATCTTGTATGATAATAAATCAGTTATTGCCATGACAAAAAATCTCGTTTATCATAGTCAAAATAAGCACATTGCAATTAAACATTACTTTATTAAAAAAGGTTGTGTAAGATGATAAGATTAGAGTCAAATATTGTAAGACTGAAGACCAAGTGACAAATATTTTTACCAAAACACTTCTTAAAGATAAGTTTGAGTTTCTAAAAGAGATGTTGGGAGTTTAATGATAAAATATTAAGGGGAGTGTTAAAAATAGTATAAAAAGATAATGCTTAGTTGTTAAATTCTTCTAGTTGACCAAAGAAGACAAATTATTGAGCCTTAAAAATTGTTGTGTGATTAATATTCTCGGAAAGTGAGAGGTTGTCATCTACATGTATGTTGAAAATTTTGAAATATAAGTATAAAAAAATTATTCCTAAAGATTAGTTTGTATTTGCCTCATTTTTTTTCAATTACAAATATACAAAAACTAAAATTACAGCCAACATTTCAACCCCATTTTTTAAGGCAAATTCTACTCATAGGTTTATATTAATTGTTAGCACAACTAGCCACAAAATTGAATATGAGATTGAACATAATAAGGGACTATGGCTCTCTAAAGTTCAGTTGCCGAAGGATTGACCTATAGACGGGATTAAAATGTAATTTAGAATTCAAACGACAGATTGACACCACCATCACCTCTGGCAATCTCCTAAACCACCGGCAGTAACACAACCACAACCACGACCACCACGACCACCACGACCACCAGCACCCAGCAACACCACCACCACCACTGGTCGGAATTGTAGCACCATCGAGCATTCTCTAATCTGTTATCTTCGTCTGCACGTATGTGTGTGTGTGTGTGTGATTGTGTGTCCATTGGTCGGAATCGCGGCACCATCACCACCTCCAAACGATCTCCTCCATAATCATTGATCGAAATCGTAGCACATCAACCACTCGCTAGTTTGCTGTCTTCGTGCGTGCATGTGAAATATGTGTGTGTGTGTGTGTGAGAGAGAGAGAGAGAGAGAGAGAGAGAGAGAGAACAGAGTTCTAATTCGGAAAGCTCTATTATAAAGGAATTTTGCATTTTTTTTTTGAATTTTGAAATGTACAATCAGCTGGCCCTCGGTCTAGCTTTACGAGCATGAACATGCTTTGTAGACAGACCATCATTAGTTATTTCTGAGGAAGTGGAGGCAACGCCATCCACTGCCTTATTTGGGATTTTCCACCGTTGCTCCACTGCTTCTGCATAGTGGCCTTCCTTAGCTGGGATCAGATTCCCTTGATGGACGGCAATCAAGTTCCCCTCATGAAGAATGCAGCCGGAAAAATGTTGCTCTATAAGTGGACGAGTTTGCTATAATATTCGACCCCCCAATCAATATCCGGTCCAAATTCCATCTCTCAGCAGCCTAGGTAGGGGCTATAGGTGCAATTCGTGTGAGTGGGATGGGTTAGGAACTCAACTCGGTCTCTGACAACACTGTAGATGCTGAGACTATGATTGAATATGCGATTTGATAGAATTGTTTTTTTTTTCCTAATTTTACGGTCAAAATGTCTAGGAAACTTATGTGAATCTCGATTAATCCATTCCTTAATCTAGCCAAAAATATATCATTCATAAAAATTAGAATATTAATGAAAAATAAATCTCTCGTGCTTGACCCAAGAAATTGTGGATAATATAACTTTTGCTTTTTGTTTTTGTTGATTTTCTGTCTCCTTCTCTCTAATCTCTTCCCTATTTTTTCTACTTTTCTCCCTCAGAATTTTTTTTTTCCATCTGCACAAGGTTATGTGCTGTGTGATTCCATAATGCAAGATCAGCAGCCACCTTTGGCAAAGTAGGGAAAAAAAAACCCAATGAACAGATTCACAAAAAAAATCAAGCTCGGAGATAGGAAACGGAACACAATGGATAACATGGTTCTGCTTATTTACATATGATTGTTCAACCTTATTTATAAAATGAGAAATAAACATGATAAAGATAAATATATTGTTTTAGTCTATTATCATCTTATTTAAACTATGAATATATGAAAGGGGAAGAAACTATACACAATCAAGCGCGAACACACACACACACAGAGTCTTGTCCCCGGAGTAGGATTAAAGGACAATATCATTGCGAATACCCTACAAGAAAATGCTTTATTTTCAGGAATTGAAGGACTTCAGATCAGATTGCAGATGGATTCAGCCTTCTATACTGAACAGTGTTCTGTGACATGTGATTTACATGTACATCATATGGTTCCGATCAATGTAAATTACTTACCTTCCAGAAAGAAAGAAAAAAAGTACATACCTCTCACATCAAAGATGCTATGTGCGTAGACGGAGACTCTCAGCTACATTTCCCTGCCTGTCAAATGTGGCAGTTTCTCGTTGAGGCGCTAGTTTAAGTAGGCAAAACATTTATAAGATTCTGCAGCAAGTTTTTTTTTCCTAAAGAACAAATTACACTTTAATCCCCAAACTATATTTCTTGTCGCGTATTACCCATTTAACTATTGTGTTTTTTCCTGTTACACCTTCAACTATAGTTATTAATTTCACATTGTTCCCTTAACTAGTATGTTTCTCACAATACCGTCTCAATTATTAACATTAAAAAATTGATTTTGCTATGGATGTGGACATGCTCTACACAAAACATGTTGAGGATGTAATTTGAGAAATTCAATTGTTAAAAGGACCAAGTGAGAACAAGTTCACAATTTTAAAAACTCAAGGGGTAATTACAAAATACTTCATTGAACTTTGGGTATTGTTTCAATCAGATTCCTCTAGTTAAAAATTAAATACCTTCAAAATTAAAGAGTTGACGGATGAATTAGACAAAAATTTTAAAATTACTTTTATACCCTTTACGTTTATTCATCTCCATTTTCTTTCCTTTTTCTTTGTCCAGTTGAATCAAAAGCTCCAACACCACCGGCCACAAACTACCGCAGTCACCACCCAACAACAACCACCCCAGCCACCACAGCCACCTCCCAACCACACACCAACAACTACCATAACCACCAACCAGCGCAGCCACCAACACAGCCACAATCAACCATTCTACAAACCATCGTAACCACCACCCTTCCACCCAAACACAAACCATTGCGGCCACCACCCAGCCATAACCACCAACCACTATAGCTACCAACTCAACCACAATCAACCAACCCAAAAACCTCTGTAGCCACCACCCAGCCACCCAACTACCCAACCATAAACCACCACATCCATAAACAATCGAAGAAGTGGACCAAAGAAATCTTCGGTAGGAATTTGGGTTTCAATTTCAATGAAGAGGGAAGGATTAGGGAGTTGAGGGAAAGGTGGGGATGGGTTTTAGTTCAATGGAAGGGGAGGGATTTCAATTTTTCACCGGAGAAATCGTTGGAGGGAGTATGATTTTTCCTTAGAGCAATCGTCGGCAGTTGATTTTTATTTTTAAGCAAAATATTGAGACAAGGGTAGTTGTGGATTTTTGATTAATTAAAGTCATTTTTAACGGTAATCAACTGAAAGTTTTTATTTTTATTTTTTTCGGAAGACAAAATTTATTAAAATAAAACAGATATACAAAGGTAATCACCCATAAAATATACAATGAAATCACGTCGGACCCAAAGACAAACATAAAAAAATCCAAAAAACCAAGTCTCAAAACACAAACCCCTTAACACCACTGATATGCAAGATCAGACCAAGTACAACAAGAGAACAAACACAAAGAACAACTGTTCATATGAACCCATAGCAAGCCATTTGCCATAACAAAAATCAGCATCAACAACGCAGCTGTAACAAACATCAAGCAGCAAGCAAATTGTTCAAACATTAAGCGACAAATTGTTCAATTTTAAACCAGAAAGACTAAATTGAAACAAGACCAAAAGTTTAAGGGAGTATTTTGTAATTAACCCAAAAATCAAATTATGATGCCCGAAAGTCGATGGAAACCTTGATAATTCATTTAAATAAGAGCAATCTATTGAGATCTAATTTGTTGACCTAATTCACTATGACCTTTGGATTAATTATGGAGCCCATCAAACATTGAAATTTAGTGTTGATCCAATGGTTCTATTGAAGCCACATTATTATGTCAATAAATTAAGTCAAATTTTTAAGTTCAAATAATATTACTCTTTAAATAACTAGATGATGAATGCATAGGTTTAAACAATGTAAATAGTAAGAGGGGGAATGACAAGATGCGTTTTTGGTGATGGCTCCAAGCAACAAGCCTCATCTAAAATAAAATTATGCCAAAAGTCATAAAGACATTGTTTGACTCGAAGCCATCGTGGGTCGTGCTCATTTCTTTCATAATCAATAACTAGTTGGAGGATTTTCTATTCTGTGTCAACCATACCTATTCCCAAACTTTGCAGTCCAAGGATACAAAGCTGCATCATTAAGCTAGAATATAGGATTAATGCAGTTAAGGGAATCATTGAACACTTATTTATGCCTAAGTCAACCAAAAGTTTCATGAATTTATTTACACACGAATGAAAAACTGCATTTGGCCAGTAAAACATCTCTTTAGCTGTCGCAAAAGTCAATCTAATCGTTACATCATGTTGTTTAATGGGAATAAAAGACATAATTTAACAATGGAGACAGACAGACGGTCAATTTACTTGTGCATTTTTTGCTCGTGAGTTGTACTTTCAGGACATCTCACAATTATCGTTTTCGAATTTTTTATGGTAGTTTGAATTTATCGTTATTGGCCTTTAACCCTTAAGTAGCCAAATTGGATAATGAAGGCTTCTAGTTTTGCTGCTTGTGCTGATGCTAAGGAGGAAAGTGTGATTGCCATCGTGGTGGGCGGAAAGAGTTTTGCTGCTTGTGCTAATGCTAAGGAGGCCATGATGGTGGGAGGAAAGGGTTTATTACTTTATTCAGGTGTCCACTTCACTAAGTACACAGTGCTTGGTGACAACGTAGTGATCATTGACAATTCTGTTGTTAAAAGTCTTTGAGACAAATCTTCATCGACTGAATATTAATATCAGTTACCAAAAATCTCTCATATCTAACTCGAGAGGTGTTGAATTTGCAAAGCGGCCTTATTACCACCCAGTGAGATATTGGATATTATATGCCTGACTGACTCTCAAGTAATTGGTAAAGTGACTGTTGATCCTAGTGGTTTTATACTCCTCTAAATTTGTGTGGGCTAGTATACACACCTTCACCAAAGGTAAGATGGAATAATCTAGTATGGTTTGGTCTGTAAATCCCTAGGATTAGCTTTATTCTTTGGATGGCTATCCATGAGCATTAAACACTGAATGCAGCATTACATACAACAATTGGAGTCTTCGTGTTTACTTAGATTTTTGTTGTGCTAAACTTGTATTTCTGTTTATGAGATTTAGAGGAAAAGAAATAGAATATTCAGGAATGAATCAAAAATTCCAAATGTAATCACACAAGGGATTACAAATATGGTGTGTAATCGATTACGCTCCTTAAAGATCAGAATTACCCGTCAAAGTGGCAACATATTGCAGTGGTGGCAGGTCCCAATTCATGGTCTTTGAGTCCTTTCCTTGAAGCTTTTTGCTAGCTTTATTGTGGATTTACTAGCTTTTTGCAAGAACATATTGCATACTAATTTTTTTTCTGGGTAGAACAGAAAAATAGGAAAGAAAACACAATAAAAAAGAGGCTAAAACTCATAAGCAATAATTTTCTAAAGGTGGTGGGTAACAGTTAAGATTATCTTAATTTATACTTAAAAAAAAAAAGGATTGGGGGAGGGGGCGGATATTATGTTTATGAAATATATATTCTAAATCTTCTTTTCTAAATGGTACGTCATTTTTATAATCATTAGATAAAATTGGAACTATCTATATTTAATGATGACGAGTCTACAATATCATATGAGATAAAACATAAGATATAGAACTTTAATAATACTCCCTCCGTTCCTAAATATTTGTCATTTTATTCAATTTTTTTTGTTCCACAATATCTGTCGTTTTATGAAACCAAAGCATAATTAATATTTTTTTTTCCAAATTTACCCTTATCTCTGTTTTCTAATAAATGCTTAATAAATTAAGTGTAGGCTAAATGTCTTTCATATTCTTTTCCTTCCCAATACGTATTGAATAAGAGTATTTTAATTTTGTGTAATTATTTTTTACTCATACTAGAACTATTTAATAACTTCCTTAATCCCTGTGTAAAAACCTTAAACGACAAATATTTAGAAACGGAGGGAGTATAATATATATTACTCTTTTATTTTCACAAAAATATATTGGATAGTTAACTATTTGGACACATATATAATTTTAAGATCTTTTGACCGACTTCAATATAAACTTATTTTTATTCTTGTCCATATCAATGGTAATAATAATTCTACTATTTTAACCTATCTCATCTAACCCAACAGAGAGGCTAGAGAAGGACTGGGCTTGATAAAACGTCAATATTTGGTATTGAATATAGAGTATATCAGAATTTTGACCCAAAAAAAAAAAAAAATCTAACCCATGTTTGGTATAGGATATAGCTATGAAGACTAACCGTTGTTTTGATCACTGCTTTATGGTTTTTTTAAGTTCATATGCTCCCAAACTAAGCAACATGAATACATCAAAAATAATATAAATATTTTTCTAGTGAGCTTCTTTGATCAAACTCGAATACGTTGACCCACTCAAACCCAATCAGATGAATGTTGAGTGCACGCCAACGATTTTTAATGCTTTACGATTCATTTACCAAACAAAAAATATAATGGTATAAAGGCCTGACATCAACCCAGGGTCCCACATACGTATGTAAAACATTGCACAAAAGTTTTAAATAAGGGTTAATAACATTTTTAATTTTTAAAGTACAGATTTTTTTGTCAATTTAGTTGTTATTTTATTAATTTTTTCTCTAAAATATTTAATTCGTGTCATTTTGATCTTTTAAATTTTCAAAAACGAATAATTTTACTACTTTTTAGTTTCAAATGCTTTAACTAGTGTGTTACAATAATGGCTCGTTTGAATTTTCTTTTTTTTGTGTGCGAAACAGATATTTGAAAATTAAAATAAAAAAAATCAGCGTTAAAAATACTCTTAGAATAATTTAGAGTGTTTCCGAAAAGTTGGTTTTTCTTTGAAAATCATTTCATAAACCCTATTTTTTAATTTTTTCTTAATGTTAATAAAACTATTTTTTTCCTAAAAAGATGATAAAAAAAGCGACCAAATAAACCGGGTCCAACAGATTAATTTTTTTTTGGTATTAATTAATATTTTTAAATTTTAAGAGTGTAAATTAAGATCAGATAATCTTTAAGAGTACATATTAAAATGGATCCATTCCTTTTCAACACTTTATCCCCGCAAAATCCTGTATTCAGAACTTGGACTTTGAAGTTTGATGGCGACATAATACTTAACACGAGGATATGATGATGATGACGACGACGACCCACCAAGTGTTATTTATTTATTTATTTTTTTTTTTAAGGGCATATTGAAAATAGAGATTTGAACTTTTAATTTGAAGATGATAAAGTCTTATAAAATAAAGAGTACAATTACAAATTGATAATGAAAGTCATACTATATAAGGTAAGTATACGGCATAGCTATATCTGCCATAGCCACAATACACCCACCACCACCACCACCACCACCACCCATTTTTCTACTCACATAAACCTTTCCCCGGGCCCTGAAAATGGAAGCATCCAACAATCGGATGAACCCCATTAGTCATCTCTTCTCAGACATGCATAAAACTTCCATTACAAACGCTTCAATTGAGGAACTGGTATTTGCAGTAGCATTTGTGACAGTCTTTGGATTATTACAACTACCATATCAGAAAATAGATGGAAAACTAGTCCCAACCATCATTTTTAAGGACAACCCTTCCTTCTTTCATGGATTTGTTTTATGTCTTAATTTCGCGTTCACCGGAGCTGTGCTGACTCTATCTCTACGTGAGAGGTATCCGAAGATTGCTAGATATTGTCGTCAACTCGCCATTGCTTCTATAACAACAGCGGCTGGAATACTAATCTTCTTAGCCCTATGCTCAAACTTCAAGTTAATGCCACCTATTTGGGTGTCCTGATATATATATATATACACACACAATTCACTCAGTTGTTCAGTCGCCCACCACTGCGCATTACAAATCAAATCTGCAACCACGGTTGCACACTGTGCAATGATTAATCGGTATTCTGAGGTTGGTCACTGAACAACGTCACTCGAGGGTGAAGCTGAAGAGAAGTAACTGTAATTCCCTTCCTTGTTTATGCTCTAATCTCTATATATTTTCAACTTTTAGATCAGATCATGTCATGGCGAAACAGGGATGTTGCTGATAAATGGGGTACGGCTTCGATATGTGTTGTAAACGACGCGGTCTTACACGGGTTAGGAACTACAGCTCTGCTGTAGAGCAGAAAAGTTGTGCTCCCATGAATGGGAGACGTGAGTTTTCCTTTGGAAGACATTTAGAAGGGTTAATAGAATTTTTGGTTGCGGTATTATGCTAGTTTTTTTTATTGCATTAATTTTATCAATTTAATCTTTAAAAAACAATTAATTTGTATTTAAATAGTTCATATACAAACAAGTGTTAAGTTTTTTATGAAAATAATCACATATCAGTCACGTAATATAATTTGAAAGAATCGCGCATAATTTTTGTCAAAAGACTTTAGGGATTGTCTAGTTAAAAATTATTTATATTTTAAGGAGTTTGTTTGAGAAAAGAATTACGTCAATTGCTTATTTTCTTCTCGGCCTGTGATTTGATTTAGGAGCGATTGAGCAACATAGATTTATGACTCTAATGTTCCGTTTAAAGATACTTTTTATCCTTCAAATAAGAAAAATAAGAAAGAGTCATTTTTTTTCCTTTGTGTTTAGTAGGGTGGATGAAAAATAAAAATAATTAATTTTTTTTTTGTGCTTGGTAAGATGGAAAAAATATTTTTATTTATTTATTATTTATTTTTAAAAAATTTTAAAATAAAATTTTTTCTAAAAAAATATAAATACATATTTTGTCATTGTATTTATATATGAAATTAACGTATACATATGTGGATATCAAAATTTATATATAGACATATAAGATATATTTTAACACAAATAATTAATTTACTTTTTTTTCAATTGTAGAATGATTCACTTTGATAAATCTCATCCATCAACTTTTTTATCTTTCATATTTTCATTCTTTACCAAATATTAATATTTTATATATCTCTCTAACTTTTTATTCTTTTAATTTTTTATCTTTTTATTTTTCTATCGTACCAAACAAAAGCATTAAATTTTCTGCGTTGTGTAGAGAGTTTGATTTTTGAATTTGCACAAATTTGCTTGATCGGGGGCTTTTCTTCAGAGAACGAAGCTTCGCTGGTTTAACTCACCATCGTCGTATCTCCGATGAGCTTCCAGACCTCTACCGAGCTGTTTCGCAAGACAATACACCATCAGATCAAGAATCAAAATATCATTTTGAAATAGTTAAAACATTCAAAACGTTTTCATTTTTAAAGAGATTGAAACGAATCATTAATAAAATCGAAATTCTAATATTATGAAGTATTCTACAATGTTTTAAGATATTTTATAATATTTTGAGATATTTTATAATATTTTAATTCATTTATACAATTACTTCGAAATATTTCAAAGTATTTCAATATACTTATATAATTCTTCAATTTTTTATTTTTGGTGGTTTCAAACGTAGATGAAACATATTGAAAAGTTTTCGTTTTTTAGGTGACCGAAATAATACATCAAAACAAAATTTTGATTCTTACATCATATAAAGTCAAATTAACGATTGGTGCTATGCCACGTTCCTTGCTATCATGTTCTTCATCTTCACATAATAACGCTATGACTTCTACCTAGGGATGACAGTGGACCGAAGTAGGGGCGACTGGTGTAGTCTCCACCCCCTTACTCGCTTAAAAAAACTTCGTTCATCTTCGGTCCACCCTTGTTAACAGGTGTAACTTTCATTCTCATTCTCATTCTCGTCCGAGAGTAAATTTGTAATCTCTACCCTGTCCCCCGCCTTCACCTCCGCTCCCCACCCTGGTCCACGTTACTCGTCCAAGTCCAATTCCAAGCTCAAGTCTAAGTCAACATAATCCAAAATTTTAAATAAA